AGACCGATCGGGCAGGCCCCCACCGGGTGTGGGAACGGGCTGAGCGGGGCACAGGTCAGGGGCGGGGGGCACGGGGTGGGGGTGTGTGCTAAACACCAACGGGAGCGGAGAGGCCGTCTGAGGCTGACCGGTGTGCACTTCACTCTGCGCTCCCCCGGGAGGTCACAGTGATCAGATGTGGGGGTCAGGCTGGCGGGGGGCGCGGGAGCACCCCGGGGAGGGAACCGAGAAGGAGGCCCTGGGAGGGAGACGCGGACCGCGGACGGGCAGAGACGGAGGCTGCGCCCCCTCGTCCCGGCTGGAAGCAGCGTTCCCGCACGGCGGGGGCCCCCAGCACTGGGTGCGTGGGTACAGACACGGGGAGGCAGACGGGGGAGGGAGGGCCCGTGGCGCGGCGGCCCGCGGCTCACATGAGGGCGCACTTGCCCTTGGCGCGGTCTGTCCGCTTCGGCTTGCAGGCGCGCTTGCCCTCGGCGCTGAGGCTCACGTGCCGGCGGGTCTCCAGCGTGAGCAGCTCCTGGAAGAGCTCCCGGACGTTGTAGTTCATCTTGGCCGACGTCTCCATGAAGGCGCACTTCCACTGCCGCGCCAGCGCCTGCGCCTCGCACGTGTCCACCTCGCGCTGCGTCTCGTCACACTTGTTGCCCACCAGCATGACGGGGATGTCCTCCACTGTGCCCTTGATCTGCACGATGAGCTGGTAGATGGGTCCCAGCTCCTCCAGGGACTGCTTGCTGGTGACGGAGAAGACCAGGATGAAGGCGTGGCCCTTGGAGATGGACAGCCGCTGCATGGCGGGGAACTGGTGGCTGCCCGTGGTGTCGGTGATGTGCAGTGTGCACACGCTCTTGTCGCAGCTGATGACCTGCCGGTAGGTGTCCTCCACAGTGGGGATGTACGTGTCGCGGAAGGTGCCCTTCACGAAGCGCAGCACCAGCGAGCTCTTGCCCACGCCGCCCGCCCCGAACACCACCACGCGGTAGTCGTTGCTCTGCTCGGGCATCTTGGCGGCACGGGGGACGGGAAGGCTCGCGCCAGCTGCTAGGACCCCAGTCCGACCCTGCGTGGAGACGGGGGTCAGGTGTGCACGGGCTACCCGCCGGGATGAGACCGCTCCGGGCCCTGGGAGTGGTGGGAAGGGCGGCTTCCCGGGGGAGGTGACGCTGGTCCTGAGGGCGGGAAGACCCTCTGGCTGCTGAGGCTGCCTGCAAGTCTGCCCTGCACGCGGGCTCACGGCCGGCCCCTTCCGCTCGCTTCCCTCTGGCAAAGGCGGGGATAAGCTTCCCGGGGGCTGTGGGGGGCAGTCCCTCTGTGCCCTGCTGGGGCTCACTTCAGGCAGGTCCGGCGTCCCTCTCCTCCCTCCGTGGCCCCTGCCCCGGACCCCGAGCCCCACACCTGCCTGGCTCTGAGACCTGGGCAGGACGCCAGGCCATCAGAACCTCTGTCCCATCTCCCTGTGGGACATGTGTCTCCGCCGTCCTGGGTCCCCACGCTGCCACTGCCTGGAGCCACATCACGGGGCACATAAGATGCAGGTTCCGGGGCAGGGATCGGCCGGCCCAGTGGACTGCCGGGAACTTGGATTTAGTTTGTTTTTAATTTGCCAAAGGGCACATGTGCTTGTCAGAGAGCAGGAACAAGCCCCCATGGGGTGTGGCCGTGCCGCAGGCCCTCCTCTATCCCTCCAACCTGTCGGGGTTTGCAGCCTGCACACACATGTACTTGGCATGTTTTTCAAGCCACTGGGGCTGGGATTCACTTCCCGGTCGGCCATGTGGGATCCAGCTCCCATAACCACCAGCCCACAGGGCCTTCCAGGAACTCGCACTTTCAGGGTGCTCCCGTCACCCCCCATAAGCACGACCCCGCCGCTGGGGACAGGAGTCTGAGAGCCGGAGCCAGGGTGGGCAGGGGCTGATGCCCAGGCCGGAGCCTGGAGCACTGAGACTCCTTCACCTCCAGCCCGGGCGGTGGTCTGGCACGGCCTGGCTCCCGCCCAGGTCCCACGGGGGCTCAGGAGTGGCTCCCTGCCAGGGGGTCCCCTCACTTCTCCCCTCTCGCAGAGAGCATGTGTCACAGGGACTCCTGAGTTGCCACTCCAGAACCCACGGCCCCCTCCACACAGAGCCGGGGCCTCCCCGTCTTACCCCGCAGCCCATCTGAGGGTCCCGCACCAGGGGGTCACCAGTTCACCCTGGCCTCCTGGTCCCGATGGTCTTCCATGGAGCCCTTCCCCCGGGGGTGAGGAGGGGTGAGGGCTGCCCCGGAGTCTGGCCGGATCTGGGGGTGTAGCCAGGACCAGCAGACCCCTGTCCCCAGCCTCGGTGTCCCCATCTGTGAGACCTAAGCAGCCGCTGCCCGCCCGGGGGTGGC